TTATAATACCCGTGATTTGTGTTACAGTTAAGGTTATATGCTACCTTACTTATGATACCTGTGATTTGTGTTACAGTTAAGGTTAAGGATATATGCTTTCTTGCACATTATACATGTCATTTGTGTTTTGTTCATAGGCATTATTTACCTCAAATATTAATACTGCCAATTATTTGCATATTACAAGATTATTTGAAGTTTGACCATAGGATTGACACTGACCTGTAGCTGGTGATTTGTCAAATTCAGACTACAAAGTCAAGACTGACACCGACCTTATGTAGTTGACACTGTGGCCAATGTATGAGAATTTGACAGTTTGACTAAGAGGGGCTATCTAGAAGGTTGAAACCGTGACCAGTACATGGGGATAGAACAGAAACTTTTAAGATTACAAGAGTGATGGTTTGGACTTGGGACACTTTGACCTGTTTTGTGTCATTGACTTCCTAGACAGGAAGACCAGACAGCAGGACAGACCTAATGTGTGCGGCCTGACATATCTGCCTATAAACCTATTAATATCATAATCTTACTCACACATGCATATCCCAGTTATGGCTGTGGTGTCATAACATTGCACACATCGAGTACCTGGCAATGTAGACTTGATATTATGAGCTATTCAGGATTCTCCTAATTTACTCTACCCAGCTATATAAGTTCTTGCAGCTCTTCTGCTCTAGTTTACCTAGCTAGATAAGTTGGTACAATGTACAATAAGCAACTTAATCCATCTATCTGTATAATTTTGTGTGCATCATTGTTTCAGAATCCCTTGGAATTAATAGTCTGGGGAAATATTTCATACTAGGTATTAAAATGTCAATATAGATTAGTCTGAAGCTTTTTGTTCTGCATCTAATGCTCCTAGCTACGGTATTCACTCTTATCACTTTGAAGATGCTAAATGCCTTTGTTTCCCATATCCAATATTGATGCTTATTTCTGTACATCTGTGCGTAAAAGATACAGAAATATTTCCTTTATTGATTTGTTATGAGGAAATTCATTAAAACAGACATTCATTGAAATATATTTCATATGGTGAAATGTTTGAATTCAGGAATCTTCCAAAGAAGAGGCACATGCGTTGACTTGTCATTGTGTGGGAATGGGTTAAAACATCAGAAATTCCTTCTGTTGTTTTATCAGAAAATCTGTCAGAGGTTTGACATCAAACTTGGTCAGAGGTGTGACAAGATTGGTTGTGTACATGGGTAGTAGAAAAGTCCTGACTGTATTAAAGAGTGATAAGCTATAATCCTGTTTCTGGGAGGTTTGTCACCTGACGTTGGTAAACACCAAAGTCTAGCCCTGCTTTAGGTCCTTACAAAGACTTTAGGGTTTATACAGCTGAGTAATAACACCAGCTGGTGCCACTGTTACATAACTCAGCTTAGGAATGAAAAAATTCTCTTTTCCAAATGAAAACCTATTATAACGATTAACAGTAACAGTTTAGTGGGTCCTTCTGTCAAAAGTACATCATCATTTAGTCAGCCTAACAAGTTTTGTCATGTCTCTATTGGAAGTGAAATTGAATGGTCTTTTTTCTGTGTTATGTCATGTTACAAAATTCTTTTTTTCTTGGCTTTAATATCTTTAAGCTTAATGATCTGGTTATCCTTGTGTATTGTGTTGCCTTCAGTATCACAACAAACATAGAATGACATATAGAAAACATTAAAAAAAAAATTTGTTTGTAATTTAACATTGCCTTCATCTGATAAAGTTTTTTAATTGAATTTATAATGATAGGTAGAAACCCAGCTTTAATATAAATGCACTCTGATATAATTTGAGTGGAAAACGAGGCCTAAAAAGTTAATTATAACTTAAATGTGATTTGTGTTATCAGTATGTCATCATTTTCAAGTGTTAAATCCACAAATAACATCTAAACTCTGCAGTCATTTTAATAGCCTGTGGTTTTGATGGTATCAAAGATATATAAGAATTCTTAAAATGCTCAAGGGCTGAACTAACATTCAAAATATTAAGACACGGATGCATCAAGTGATATTTGAGGTTTTATAATTAGGTAGAAGGGGTTTTTTTTTAGTCAGTAACTTTGATTTTGAATGCTCTTTATTTTAGTTTATTTCAATACTTTTGTATCCCTTCAGTGGCAAAAGATTTACATACCTAATGATTTTATTTGTCTCTGTGATCTGGACATTCCTTAAGATTCGTTTATTGTGAAAATGAAATAGAGGGAAAAACCAATCTTGTAAATATGATTAAAAACTTAGTTGGCTTTTGTGAAGAAATCCTTGGGTATCTATAAGATTTCCCTTTTGGCAGGTTCTTAAAGGTTTTCCATATTATACTCAGATACCTTATATGGTATTCATTATATTAAAATCTTAATTATTAAATAATTTCATTATAATGATTTGATATTTTGTAAGGTTTTCATTTATCTTCTTGATCGTCTTTGGGGAAAAAGTGTTTCATTATAATATCTTATGTTGTAGGATTGTGAAAACTAAAAAAAATTTTAATTATATATCTTCAGTCAGTGAAGCTATATTGTATCATTGAAGATATATAATTTTTACAATAGGGAATAATATTGGAAGAGAAATGGACCTAATGTTTTGGTGATAGTGTTCAGGAATTGATTTTTCTCTTGGCATAAACACCAGAATTTATTATTGTGAAATACATTCAACACAAAAATACTTTAACTAAGTCAGGGCCATGTTTGTTAAATGTCACCCTCCTATGTACAGGTTGATACCCTAAACAGTGTCCTAAATCAATGATCGTGTATCAAACAAATTGAGTATTTCAGAGATGAAAAAACTCCCAAGAATAACAATGAACAATGAAGGTATACAGGTTACATAAACCTGGAATTCAGATGTATTATTTTCAAATGTGACCTGGCTTTGTTGGAGAGCTCCCCAAGGAGAATTTTACCCCCAGTAAGTCGCCGACTATACAGCTGTGCACTGTCTTATCAACAGAAACACAATAACTTGTCTGAATATGTATAAACCTGTACAAAGTGCATCAATGCTTTTCACAATATTTCTATTTAATTTGATATCTTATAAATATTATCTGGTGATGACAAACTTACAAAATGCTATGTTGAACATTGGATTTTTTTTGGGATACATTATATCTCGAAATTAGATACCTAGACATATAGATAAATTATATTAAAAATATATAGGTATTATTATAGTAGCTAACAACACTGTCTGGCCTCATCTGATATTATATCAGACATTCATGTACTGGTAAAACTGGTATTTAAGTACAGAGTTGGCCAAAATCTGTTGCCTCTATCTCTCAAGTTGACATGCTTTAGTGGTTTGTGCTACAGATGTTTGGAATCCCTCAAAACACCCTGTCCTTTCCCCCCTCTCCTCCACTCACTAAAAAAAACCCTAAAAAAATCTTGATATATAAAAGTGACATGTCTTTGTGGGGATCTCTGTATTTTGTCAAATGATGAGAAGATGCGTGTTACCTACTGTATTTGCCCTGCAAGAGGCCCAGCAGAGGGGTCAAAACATTACCTCTCACTCCAAATAGAACATCAACTAATAACTGGACACTGAACATTTTGTGAAAATCAAATTCAGATTTGTAAAAATACTACTGAGCAGCAGATGATATGGATAGTTCTATTACAGTTTTATTGTTTAATAAATACAGAATAAAAACTGGATGAAATGAATTTGGAAAAAAAAAATTCAAATTAAAAAAATCAGATATATCAAGGTCAGGAAATCCATGTTTCCAGTATTAAATGTACACTCTTTAAGAAAAACTTCCAGCACAATATTATTTATTTTCTTTTTATAATGCTTTTACTTTTTTTAGTTTTATCACCACAAACCATGTGTTTATGTTTTCAAAAATTGATGTATAAATAACTTTAAATCCCAATGTATGTTGTACAGAGAAATAAAAAACTGGTACAGAGATATTTGGAATGTCTGTAATTACAGGCACTTGCTGTGAATTAAACATTTTGAGATCTCCATTAGAGGGACCACAAGTATTTCGGATTTTGTAATCTTGCTCAGTAGGTAGCCATTGAGAGTTTAGGAGGCCCTCCCACCTATAATTAGTGTGAGACGTTTTAACATGTCAATCACACTTCTTGGTAGTGGTAATGCATATTGTAACTACAACACTGACATTTGTACAATTTTTCCAAATTTCTTACTACTTTCAGTTTATATCGCTGGGTAGGGATATTAGTTATAGAATGCTGATAATTAATAACTCATTTCACAAAACTTTGACATTTTCCATTAATAAATCACTTACCAATCATATAAATCCTGAAATTAAAGAAAACCAACTTTTCTAAAATGACAGAATTTAGGTCACTTGTGTTATATATTTTAGCTACCCATTTTATAATGAATTTACATGGCATTTTCTGTAAGGCACAGAGAAGCACCAGGATGATTTATATATTTATCTGATCAATTTCAAGAGTGTGTAGTCGTAGTATGCCATCAGGCACTCGAAATAAACCAGAAAAACATACTCTAGTAAAACTGCCATGTAGACTGGGGGCCGTCGTGTATTTAAATAAGCTATAGATGGTATACATTGTGTCTTGTGAATCCGCCCTGGTGGCTCAGGCTACATATTCATTGAATTAAGAGTTAAAATGAATTTGCAAAGATAGGGTTAGAATGAATTGGTAAAGATAAGGTTAGAGTGAATTTGAAGAATTAGTACATTGGGAATTCAAGTGATGTAAATGGATGTTGCTGGTATTTACTGATGTGTTCTCAAAATACATATTAGAATTGAATAAAAAATTGATAAAATATTTAAAATTCATAATGTCCATTGTTATTTGTCAGTTGTTTTTAAGAAATGCAATTTATCATATCTTTGTAATTTTATTAAAAATTTCTGATATTGACATGGAAAGATAATATGAAAAATCAATAGTATTCTGTTTTTAATGTTTGAATTAATTATTTTATTGATAGTGAGGGGTAATATAATTTTTTTGTGTTTATTCCACAGGTGTTATAGTGACCACTGGCCAGAAGCTGGACAGAGAATTACAGGAAAGTCATATTCTTGAGGTAAGTGTCCCGTCTTACTTGTCTCCCTTTTTTTAATTATTACCTCCCTTTTCTCTGCTTTGCATATTGATGTATTGTACAAAGCACATGCTATTGTCTCCCTTTTCTGAAACTGTGATTTTACTCCAGCTCCATGGTGTTTTTGTAGTGAACAGATTAAACTGTTCTTATTACCTGAAAGTATTACACCACTACAAGTAAATATACTTATGTGACAGGTAGGTCACTCCGGTGTTGTAAATTACTGTTGTCAATTTTGTACTGATGGAACTTGAGGGACACAATTTGAAATCAACTTATCTGAAGGTTAATTTTTTTTTAAGATTGTCTTCTAAAAAAGGGTCCATCTTTGATATATTGTTGTGTTATGAGTGCTTCAGATCCTTAGACATGAAATGTTCAATTTCGGTACAAAATATCTGAAATGTGTGTAAAGGAATCTATATTCCTTGGTTTCCATCACAACAATGTAGAACTTGCCAGATTTCATTTAGAAATCAATACAACTTTGCTACAGTACCGACCATCTACTGGTAGGTCAAACAAAGTGATGACTCTCAAGTAGACCAGCTTTTTACATAGGAAAACTTCAGACGCTATGCTTTAAGACGTTACAGGCGAGTATCTCACGTGTCAAGATTGCATCTGTCATTATGTAAAAACATGTCATACCCTTGAACATGCATCAAATCTGGAAATGATGCTTTCAAGTTTTTACAACAATCGATGGTGTTTTATGTACATTGATGAAGATCTTGTCTACAGTGAAAGTTGAAATATAGGAAGTAATGCACAGTGACCTGACATGTCTGATTTTAAGACATAACTTGAGGGTTGTGTTTGGTGCTTAGAAGTGATAACCTAGCAAGATTATTTTTTATTTTTGACGTATGTAGATGTCAGTAATATGATGGTTGCTGATGGTTTTAACCTGATAGAGCCAGTCTTGGACTCTTGTTTGTTGGTATGGTCACCTAATGCTTAAACTACAAATCTCAACATGTGATGTAATTTTAAAATCACATGCCAGTCTCTAAAGACCAATAGGTGACTGGTATACTAACAGCAGGATTCTCTCACCAGCACTGTTTCTGTGGCTTGGTCTACTGGTATAAGAGAGAACTATCTCTCCAGATGTCTTCCTGCCAAACCAGTGCCAACAGCTCTCAAACTTCCACACAGCACAAATATCGCAACTGTGTTGCTTCATGTACAAATAAAGGAAAACATTCTTGCTTAAGGCATGTTATAAAAAATGTTTACTGATGCACTGCTTTGGTGTGATCTCACACCAGATAGTGAATGAAGGTGTGCTATTTTAGATTCCAAGGTTGTTTGGTTTGACTTTGTGATGACCTCCAGATGATTATGGGTAATTATAGGTCATCAGAGCAGTTGACGTGTAAAATCTACCTGCAGTGTTCCTCTAGATAAAATGATAGAACTTTTTGAAAACATGCAGTGTGATTAAGCTGTTGAGTTTCAATAACAGACTGATGGTAAATTTTAAATGACTACATACACTGGTGCTCTAGCAGTGTTGAAATTATTCAGTTCATTTTAGCAGCAAATGGCAATGCCATTAAATTTTGAAAACTAGAAACCAGATATTAAATCCTATGGCAACTGCCCTTTCTGATATATTTATGAAACACCATTATCAATAATTCCATGATTTTGTCAGTTATTCAGTGTGTAAGCGATCTTAACACCGCTTACCAGAACAGCAATCTTTGGCAGTTCAATACTGTAACATGTGGAGGATACAGATAAAACGTGTTAAGTTATACAATCCATAAACATTTTAAGGGAGTTGAAACCATTTGAACCGGAATACAAATCAAGCCTATTGGATTACGTATTACCCATCAACTGTCAGGGGTTTGCATGTGATGCATGTAAAATTGGTGTTTAGGTACATGCACACAATGTGTAGAAGGCCACATCCCCAGTAATGTCTCTCTTGGCTGAGACTCGATTACTTACTGTGACAAATTCACTTCCATTGATGAAGACCCTGGAACTGTGACAGAATAAAGAATTGAGTATGTTACCAGGCAGACAATGTTGTGCTTTGAATTGCTCTCACTTGAAGGAACATTTTGTATCTATTCTGCATGTCAATTGTTAACCTGATTTTTTCAGCGGGATTGGAATTTGTTCAAAACATCAACTGAATTGAATGTTATATGTGTATACCGTTTGATAAATCCTATTTGTTGAGCTCTGTTGTAAAATATTCATCATGAAGTAGACCAATGTTATTGCCTATAGCACATTTCTTGGTTTTTATTGCAATTGTCTGGTCACCACGGAAATAAAAGGATGTGCCTGTAATGTAGGTCATGGTCTTGTCCTTATTGCTGTATGCTGTAGATGTAGGTCAAGGCTTTATAATGTTGATGTAGGTCAAGGCTGTATGCTGTAGATAGAGGTCAAGGCTGTATCCAACATATGTTGGTCAAGGCGGTATATTTCCGATTCTGATGAAGGTAGCATACTGAAGATCTGTGCTACCTACTGTAAAAATACAGAGGTAATTTAGGTCAAGGCTACACAAAATGGAGATATACTATGCTTTGTCACTCAAAATTACATTATAGCTGTATAGCCATTTAAGGATTGATACACTGCACAGACAGTACACTGTCAAATTTGATCATGGCTTTACACAGTTTGTATAAAAGTTAAGTTGAAAGATGACTTCTTTATCAAATAAAGTTTGAAGTATTGGTTCAATTCTTCAGGGACACACAGTTGTAAATATATAAGAAGTGGAAGGTTACTGGAAGGTGATACCAGTACAGTGTAATGTCAGTAAGCTTACATGCTTTCCAGTAATATGTTTTGACATATCAGTTGTACTGCTTACCCCTTACCACTGGTCTATATCAGATGCTAATGACAAAATAATCTTTGTATTTACATCAGGGGTCAGATAAACCATGTGATCTCATCAGATTCAGATTAGTATTACCAATCCCTTGGTAGATTCAAGACAGTAGAATACCACCATAAATACCTGAAATAGTAGCTAGGGAAAATTCTGTAAATTGTGGCATGTTTAAATTGCTACTATTTAAAAGCTATTGGTAGGAAGAAGTAATGTATTTAAAAGACCTGTCCTAATGTTGCTATATTATTTCCCTCTGGACCAGCAAGGGAGCTACGATAGTACAGGCACATCACCTGTTATCATAAAATCATAGGTTTACTATAGACATAATCTTGTCAGATAGAAGTCTTCAAAACTAATTTGGTCTTAAAGGAGTCATTTGATGTGACATTGCAGTACAGGCAAGGTCACTGATGATAACACCATGATGAAAAGAAGTGTACTCTCTTTTTCTAATTCTGTTTGATGATTACCAGTAAGTTAAATGATTAAATATCTGTGATAGAACAATGTATATAAAAGAATCAAGTGGACAACCATTTGATGAGTACCAGTAACACAAAATTATATGAATAAGTCTGTGGTAGAACCCTGAAGGTTAACTGATTAAATATAGTGATATAGTTAAATGATTAAATATAGTGATATGGTAAACTGATTAAATATAGTGATATGGTAAACTGATTAAATATAGTGATATGGTTGACTGATTAAATATAGTGATATGGTTGACTGATTAAATATAGTGATATGGTTGACTGATTAAATATAGTGATATGGTTGACTGATTAAATATAGTGATATGGTAAACTGATTAAATATAGTGATATGGTTGACTGATTAAATATAGTGATATAGTTAACTGATTAAATATAGTGATATGGTAAACTGATTAAATATAGTGATATGGTTGACTGATTAAATATAGTGATATGGTTGACTGATTAAATATAGTGATATGGTTGACTGATTAAATATAGTGATATGGTTGACTGATTAAATATAGTGATATGGTTGACTGATTAAATATAGTGATATAGTTAACTGATTAAATATAGTGATATGGTTGACTGATTAAATATAGTGATATGGTTGACTGATTAAATATAGTGATATGGTTGACTGATTAAATACAGTGATATGGTTGACTGATTAAATATAGTGATATGGTTGACTGATTAAATATAGACTGATTAAATATAGTGATATGGTAAACTGATTAAATATAGTGATATGGTTGACTGATTAAATATAGTGATATGGTTGACTGATTAAATATAGTGATATGGTTGACTGATTAAATATATTTGATGGTTAATTGAATACAGTGAATGATAACGGATTGGATATAGTGAAAGTTAATATGGTGATGACTAATTGATTGAATATAAAGTTTTCATGGTGTCCATGTACTAGATAGATGATTGATACTATACATAAGAGTAAGAGTAGGGTTCATCTCTGTTATTGTATTAGCGAAACTCTGTCACCTTCCTGTCAAAGAACAACACCTTTTCTACTTTTTCAAGCGTTTGCTGGTAAGAACCATTTGTTTCTAGTGTATTGTGACAGAATTAGTGGTAAATGCATCTTGACACATCATTTTCCTTTATCCCAAGACATTTTCGACGGAAATTAATTTCAATTTTTTTTGGATTAAAAAACGTAACCGAGATGAAGTTTTGTTTTATCAACAGTATGAATTTAATTTCTCAAATGTTTTCATTAATTTAGTTTTTTATCCAATTATAACACCTAAACGTGTTTCCAGCCTAATGTAATTTCATGAAGATCGTAGTTTAATTAAGAAAATTGCCTTTGTTCTACTGAGAATCATTCAATTTTCAAATGAGAGTGCATCTGATCCCTTTCCATCCTGTACCAAATTTGGGGTACGGAGATGGGAACTCTATATTTCCTTTCCTTTTTCTGTCTTTCTGATGTTCCATTCCTCTTCCTGTCTATTTTAACTTGGACTTGAAATGCCAAGTAGACTTGAGAGCTATATTCTTCCTTTCTTCTATGTGTCTGCTCAACTTTGAGCAGAATACTGTTGAAACAAGTGACAAGTGAATGTGTAGCTTCCTGTCACACTCTCTTCCTA